GTTCAAGCCTCCCGTAATCCTGAAGAGAGAGTCAAATGTTCGACACGTACAGAAGTACTCGAACTTACGTGCTCCATAATTGTCCGTACTTTCTAATTGCTACTATGCCTGAGTGCCTCCGAGCCTCCTTGTTAAGTCTTTCTTCCTTTTCTGTCGATCCAAATACTCCGTCTGATTTCCCACGCACTATTTTCCACGTCGACATGGATCACAATGGTACCTGAAACAAGGATTGAGCGGGGAAGTACTCCACCCATTCCCATTTGCTCTTCATTACTAGACCATCTTCACATGTGTTTACTCCTCTATTCACGTGTCTACCTGTCTCCGCATCGCTCTTGCTGCAGTCAAGCCGAGGAGAGATACCCCAGATGGCCCATGCAACTCCCCGGAATGTCCCCAGATGCGCCCAAACGAGCCCCGCGAGCGACAAATGTTGCATGTGGGGAGGTATTTTTCCCAGGATCATGGTGCCAATTACAATGCGCATACAGCTACTCCGTGCATCTTCTTGCAACGACGAGGAAGCCAGTGGCAACGGGCCATGGAGATAGTAACATCATTACCCACGTCCGTCGTAAGCAGTTAAGTAGCAAGGATTATTTTGGTACAAAGTACATATTCAACGACGATCGTTCCTTCCTTCTCTCTGCTACTTTGATTCTGCCCACATATACTTTCTATCTCCCCCCTTCTCCATTTTTTCTCTCTTTTTATTCTTTTTTCTTTCTACCCCGACCACCCACTTCAGTCGCCCAATCCCTCATCCACGCAAAACAAACCTTTGTTATTTCTCCGAATCCCGTCACTATGCGTGTTTCTACTGTTGTTCGTGCCGCCTTTGTGGCCGTGACCGCTACAACGGCTGCTGCCAGTGGTGCCGACATCGTCAGCGCTCTCGACAACGTCGACTCAGCGACGCAGAAGCTCCAGAATATCGTCAATGGCTGGTCGGGCGGCCTTCTGGGCTCGCTCCCGATCCTGCCTCAGAGCGCCCGCGTTCTATCGGCAATCAACGACGGCACGGATACTGCCAATGACAGCGACCCGTTGACCCAGGACGAGGCTCTTGGCATTGCCACGGCCGTCACAACTCTGTCCACGACCGTTAACTCCACTATGACAGCGCTCATCAACCGCCACGACGATTTCGAGCACTTACTCCTCGCACCTGTCGTCCTAATTGACCTCAAGCTGCAGAAGAAGGCCTCTGACGACATGAGCGCTGCCATTATCGCAAAGGTACCTGCTGCTCTGCAGGGCATTGCCTCGAACCTGGCTGCCCCCATCGGCGCGTCTTTCGACCAGGCTATTGAGGCTTTCTCTCTGTCGAACGGCATCTAAGTCCAATCGAAGACAACTAGAATGCAACCGGGGCCATTGACGAGAGCAGTAACAAAGGGGGAAGCAGAGAGGATGACGGATATATAAGCGACAAAAAAAATTAAGTGAGCGGCTTCTTGTATTGGTTCTGATGAAGCGAAGAGCAATCGCTGAGCAACCAGTTTCATGTGTTGTAACCATAGAAAATATCGTCAGAGGTAAATACATTGAGCCGATCTCAAACTACTTCGCGCAGAAAGTATCACCACAAACCATAGGAATGTAAAAATGTTGGAAGTGGTGTGCCACGCTTTAGCTCTTACCACCGTGGCGAGTGAATGATAAAGGCCATCAGCAACCCAGAAATCAAACCTGTGCATGGAAGGGTGATGACCCAGCCCGCGTAGATCCAAAGAACCATTCGCCAGTTGATCGTACGCCAATCACCCGAGCAGAGACCGACACCAACGGTAGCACCCGTAATGCACTGTGTAGTTGACACAGGCAGTTCTGTTTGTGTCAGCAGGTTTCCCATGAGTGGATGACAATGCCTGGCCAGCGCTCATGGAATTAAAATAGTACAAATCGTGCACCCAGAGGCCATAAATAAACCATGGTCTGGGAGACGGGCCGTTGGATATAAGTAAGACTTACTTAGACGGGTGGCGAGAATGATTGTTGTGGCGCTAGCTAGCTCCATAGAAAACCCACGGGACGGCGAGTGAAGAGTAATGCGGTTACCCAGGTTGCGCATGATGTTGTAGCCGTACGTCCAAAGCCCAATGATCAAAGCAGCGCCACCAAAGACAAGAATCCAGATGGGAACGTCAGCCTTGCCCTTCTCAGGCAAAGCACCGTCGTTCCAGATCTGGAAGATTGTGGCATAGGGTCCAATAGCGTTGGCAATGTCGTTGGCACCATGTGTGAAAGACGCAGTCGCAGCAGTCATGACCTGCAGGAAGGTGAACATGTACTCCGTCTTGTTGTCGTAGTGTGCGACGCGGGCGTGCATGGCCTCTAGGTCGCCTGTCAACAGAGTACGTTTGTCCTTCTGTGAGTTGACAATGTCGACGTCAACACCACGGAAAATAGCATACTTGAAGTACCAAAAGAGGACCGAGCCGGAATACCACTTGCCATCGGGCTTGGGGCCGACAATGGACTTCTGTTTCTCAGGCTGCTTCTCGTTTTGGATGCCTTCCGGGGGTAGCAGCTGGCCACGTCGTGCCGGGTTGTTCACCACGCCATCGTCGGAAACGCTTGCCGTGTTCGTGGCATTGTTGCCCTTCAGCTCGGGCGACCCATTGCCTAGGGTCGCTTCCTCGTCCGTCACGCCCTGGCCTCTGGGCGCCTCCTCACTGACAACGGCGCGCGCACGCCGTGTATCCAGCTCCTCCTGCGTGAGATGGCCCTGGTAGAAGTTGCGCGTACCACAATGTCCCGGCGGCGGCGGGCCAGCATCGGGGCGACGTAAGTTAAGCGGCCCCAGGGGCAGGTGGTAGGCCTTGATCGTCCAGTCGTCGCGGATAACCTTGCAGTAAAGCCACGGGCAGAGGAAAATGGCAATGAAAATGCCCCAGGCAGCTCCGACACCGACAATCACACCGACCACCTGCGGGTCCGTTAGCGTCACGGCGTAGCTGCCACCTTTCCAAAGCAGTAACATAGTGAGTAGAGACGCCGTGATGCCAAAATAAACGGGAACAGTCAACAGAGCCTTGTAGACGGGCCTAGAGCGCAGCATGACCGCGTATTTTGTAATCGTGAAGATGATGGCGCCAAAAATGCCCGAGATACCGGGGGCCAGGATCCACGCCAGGAAGACCTGCACCACGCCAGAATTAACCACAGCCGTGCCACTACCTGATCCAACCCATTGGATGCCATTGGCGCCAACGGACGCAATTCCCATGCCAATGACACCGCCCATGATGGAGTGGGTGGTGGACACGGGCATACCAACTTTGGTGGCAAAAGTGAGGTACACCGACGAGGCTATAATGGCACACACCATGCCCAACATTAGCACCCCAGGCGTTTCAGCGTACAGGTCGGTGTTGACGACCTTGGTGCGGATGGTGTCCGCTACACGGGCTCCGACGCCGACTGCACCTCCAAACTCCATCACACTGGCAAGACACATGGCCTGCAGATACGTGACGGAGCGCGAGCTGACAGACGTGGTCCATGAGTTGGCGACATCATTGGCACCTGTAATTTAAGTGTTAAGAGGAGAGGAAGGAGCGTGGAGGAGGCGGGGCTTGTTGACGGGAAAACCATTCTCACCAATGTTCCATGCATCCAGGAAGGCGAAGATTGTGCCAACAGCAAATAGATGGTTATATTCCAGAAGGCGGACCATCTTGAGTGGAATGCGGTGATACTGCCGGTCGGTCCAAATGGAAAGAAAACGGATGTCGAAAAAAATGCGTATAGTAAGTCACAGAACGATATGAGTTGACAAAAGCAAAGAATGACTGAATGTAGACTCCGGTCTGCAGAAGATGGAATGGAGTTCGACATCAAGTCCAGCGGCGGTCTCGAAGAATCTTTATATCTGTCGAGCATTACGACTGGAAAGTAACTAGACGAAGACATCAAGCCAACGCTCATCTTCGGCCTGTTGTCTTTTCCTTTTCTACGCCCTCGGCATCACTCTCTCGGTGTCCATTTGCACAGCCATGGGACTCGGCAACGCCTTGGCCAGACTACATCGGCCATCCTCATTGCTTCCAGATCGCTATGCCGTATTTTGGTTCGCCCTTTGCTGAAGCAAACCAACGCACGTGTGCCATCCGGACCCGCTCCGCCAAATGTTGAGTTGGATGTCTCTCCGATTGAGTCTCGGCGTACTATTCGTGATCATATTGGCGTGAGGCAAAAATCGTTTCCCTTTTGCAGTCCTCCTTGGACGTTGGTGGTGTCCCAAGAAGCTGAGTACCTTGGCGGACCTTGGCGAGCTTGGCAAGTGGGAGCCGCTGTACTTTTATATTTGGTCGCTGGATACGGCCTTTGAAATGGACTTTTGAAAAACAGCGCTGTCTCTCCGACTGGGTGAACCCACTTACTCCGGACGACTTGGTCTCGCCCCGCCGCAGGCGTTAAGGTGCACCAAAGAGTCGCATGTACGACGCAGCGTCCTGATAATTGTAAGGCTATGCAGCCATATTTTTGACCAGTCAGTGACTGGCCACTTTTTGAGTGAGGCCAAGACTCACCAAGATCGACTGCCGTCAGAGACGAATCAGATTTTGGCAATGAGCCTGGAAGGCCGACAACGTCCAAGAACACCAAGACACTGGGCAAAAGCTTCGGAATCGTCTAATCAGAGGCCAGAACACCACCACGTGTCTGTCAGGGTTTCAAAACGCGTGTTTTGCCTCGTGGATGACTACATATTCGATCAAAACAGAATTCATTGTGAGCCGCGTACAGCATTGGAGTCGTTTGTACTTTACTCCCTTTTCGTTTTACTCCGTTTCCGTTTACTTCTTGCTATTGCGATGAAATTCTGACATTGAGTACTGTTACGAATTACAAAAGCTCACAAGACATGCTTTGGAAGCTTCATTGCCAAATCCGTTGGTTGTTCCACATTTTTATTGAAAACTGGACCGCACAAAATACACTGTTTTCTTGAATGTACCAACATCAATTTGATATCCGACTCAGTCAACTCACAGCCCGACTTGGTCCACGGCCTGATACTCGTGAGCTACGTTGGCCCTCACATTGCGTTGAACGAATACAGGCTTTGCCTGTCGCAAAACGTTGCCGTCGCCGTCAATCGCCTCCGCATAGATTTTAACACCATCCAGGAATGGCACCGAAGCAACGTTCTTGAAGAATGCATGCGTCTCAAATCCAGAACGCTTCACCTCACCCAGGAAACGGCCATCGAGTGCCACATAAAAGCGCCAGACTTTTGTCTCGGTGTCGCCGTTCCACGACACATAGGCATCGATGCCCTCTTTGTTGGCGGAATCCGATACATAAACAGCGAGAGCTGGCTCTTCCGCCGGAATACCCGTCCAGTTCGCCCGGAAACCACGGTAGCTCTGCACAAGGTGACCAGCCGGGTCCGAGTCCAGGTAAGCATGGAACAGAACCTCGCCGTCCTCGGCATACTCGGTGATTGCGCCTGCCTGGCCCCAGTTGACAAAGACATGGCCGTTGGGCAGAATCTGCGTACTGCCCTGTGTAGATGCAGACAGGCCGTCAGGTGCCTCGTATGAGCGAATTGCGGTGGCTCTGCCGGTGTTGTAGTCGAGCTTGTAAACACGAGCACGCGACGTAGGGTGCGTCTTCACATCGGCCGAATGGGCGCCGTTGTCAAACAGGGAGATGTACTCGATGCTTCCGTCCGTTGAACGGCCGCAAAAACGGGCGTGGTGCTGGTAACCAAAGACATCGTTTTCTGGGTTCTCAAATTCAAAGTCTGCACCGCCGTGCAGGCCGCCCAGCTGCCAAAGGACGTGGCCATTTGTGCCGTTTAACTTATACACACTTGCCATGTTGCGTGCCGACACTAGGTAATTGCCGTCGCCGTCCTTGTCCACACTGTTGACATGAAAGTAGTTCCACGCGTCGCTCTCGGAGCGGCCCGAGCCAAAAATATTCGTTTTCGTGTCCAGAGGGAACGCGCTGCGCTTCGGGTCGACATGGTCGAAGCTGTGCCATTCAAAAACAACCTCGCCTGTTTCGATATCGATTTCTAAGGGGCACCGTGTGAGTGACATTGGCTCATATTGTTCCCTGCCCCCTTTTGTCGCCTACCTTGGAAACCGCTCGACAGGACCCAAACCTGGCTTTCGTCGCCGCCCCACGGTTTGAGCGACGCCACGACAGGCAGGGGAATTTCAATCAGCGCTGTCTTCTCGTCGATGATATTAAACTCGTGTGCCGATGCCCAGCGGTGACCGCCAGATTGCAGCACCTTGGCCGGCCGGTAGTGCTTGTCCAGCAGCGAGTGGAAGCCAAACATCCGGCCGTGAACCGGATCCAATGCGCCCTGGAATGCCCGCAAGTATGGCTCGCCCTTCCAGATCACAGGCGCAAAATTGGCCACCCAGCCGGCATGATAACCTACACCGGACCAAACCAGCTCGCCGTCGTCCTGGAAAATGTAGGCAGCCGGCTGGATGGGGCCGAAGGCGACATTGTCTGGGCCTGTCGTAAAGCCCGGGTACTGGCCGACAAACAGCAAGCCTCTTTCGAGAGACCCTGGCTTTCCAGTTGTTGTAATATTCAAATGCGGAATAGCAAACTCCGGGCGGCTTCGGAACTCAAAATTCGCAGCCGCGAGGCTGGCCAGTACGGCAAACGTAGAAAGCGAAGTGGTTTTCATGCTGTACTTTGTGCCTGTCCATACGACGCAGCTGTGCATCTTCGAGAAGAAGAAAGGCAGGCCACAAAATACAGGCAGTGCCTTTTAATTTGGACCTATTTAATGTCTTTCGCTTTGTGGTCATCGGTCATGTCGTCCTGTGCATTAAGCAGACTGCGATATTGCGCAATTGCTCCCGATCACGTCAACACTAACACCAATTCATCGCAGTCGCCCAGCCTATTCCCGGTTTCCGACTGCCTTTCCTTTGATTTCAGCACAAGACCAATACAACAAATGTAAGTAACGTCGACAGGCCATGATATCAAAATGGTCAGACTTACCGATGGGAATGGGGACTAAAGAACGACGGCCGCAGCCTCTTTATTGCATTGGTCTGGAGCACAGTTGAATTCCTGCACTGGACATTCACCAGGGTTTAGTGGCGATGCCATTACCCCAAGGGTGACCTGACATTCCACGTGCGCCCCTGATGGCAAAGCCAGGCCACATCTTGTCGCTCGCCCCTGGCCGACCCGTCCATCGCTCCGTTTTGCATTGATCCCAACCTTGCTTAATCTCACAATGTCTTGGCATGCCCTACCCATGACGCGTGGCAGCAAGTGCCAACGCAGAAAACGCGTTAGCCCAAACGGCCGTCATATGTAAGAAATCGCAATTGTGGCTGTATGAACTGGCGATGATTTTCCGATCGGTTACACCCGATACCACGCGACGCGGCCAGGCTATTGACCATTATGTAGCAATCAAAACTGGTCCGTAGGCGACGAGGGGCCCTCGAAAAAGTAAATGAACCAAAGAATCGTGTTAGCTGGCCCTCGTGCTTCGGCGCAAATCCTCAATTGCGCCTAGTACAACGATCGCCAACTGATCATACCCCGTAGCTTTTGGGCAACCATATTCATTTGATAATTTGCCGCCTTAGATGAGGGTTGACCCTGCAGGACATTGCCACCAATCAGCATTTTCGGTGTCTATTGGCGCAGCTGCAAATGAAAGGACTACTCCGTGCTGATGGGCATGTATTAAAGCAATCTGATTCCAAGTCTCTGATATCGAGATTTATTGGACAGGCGGGGTGTATGTTTTGAGCCGGCACTCCTCTGTTCTGAATTTTATTATGCGCCGCCTCATTGTCGCGACCTCCTAGCAGCTTTCACGATGGCCCTTCTCGCCAGTGTCCTCGTCCTCGCCAGTGCTGCAAATGCTCAGGTCGGCTCGATGCTGTCACCTGCCTTCGATATCAACTTCCTGAAGACCTCTGCCGCTTCAAACCCCCTCGGCTGGCTTGGAGCCAACGGCCCTTATGCATCTGGTAAGAAACACGCTCCGTTGTTATAAATCTGGTCTAGGAAGCAGCGCATCGCATAGGACCTAACACGACTAGGCCCCAATGTGTATGGCATCTCTTCGGATGTGCCGGAGCATTGCACTGTCGATCAGGCCTTCTTCGTTTCCCGCCATGCTTCTCGGTACCCCGACCCCGGTGCTTACAATGGTTGGGTAGACATGAAGAACCGTGTTAGTTGGTTTGGGCCCGTATCTTTCCCGGTCTCCTTTTTAATGTCTCTGCTGACGGGCCAGTTTTCGGCGGGTAATGGATATAATGCCACGGGAACGCTCTCCTTCCTGCCGTCTTGGAAGCCCGTGCTGACAAACTCCGGCCTTCAAATGTCCAACCTCTCGCCAACGGGACAGAAGGAGGCTTTCGACATGGCATATGCTCTGCGTACCAAATATCCTCAGTTGTATAACGAGGGCGACGATCTGTACGTCTGGGCCAACAACTACTCGCGGGTGTTGCAGACAGCCAAGCTGTTTGTCCGCGGCTTTCTTGGTGTCAACGCTACCAATCTGGGCCACATTGTGTCTGTCACGTCCTCCGGAAGCGTCGACGCTATCGGTAACTCTCTCGGACCATCCGACAGCTGCCCCAACTTTGTCGACGTGTCTGGCGGCATGTATTTTTCCAACTGGTCCAATGTCTACATCCCGCCAATCCAAAAACGTCTCCAGTCGCTTATTTCCGGCAACCTTACATTCACTTCCGACGATATTTCCCAGATACCATATCTCTGCGGATTCGAGTCTCAGATCACCGGCCGTCTCTCGCCGTGGTGCAATGTCTTCTCTGACAAAGAGCTTCAGTACTATCAATATTCCAACGATCTCCGGTACTACTATGGCGTGGGTCCTGGTACCAAGTTACCGGCGACAATGATGCTGCCATATCTGAATGCGGTTATGGGTTTATTGAAAACAGGCCCTGGTGCTCTTCATGGCACCGCAGCGGACGGCTCGGATTTCACTGTACCCCAGCTCTTGGTCAGTTTTCTCAACGACGGCCAGCTGAATGAACTAATCACAGCATCCGGCGTACACGATGCACAAGCTGCACTATCTGACTCGCATATGGATCCGAATCGCCTGTACATTGGTAACCGATTCACGACCATGCGCGGCACCGTTGGCTTTGAGCGCCTCAACTGTGCTGTGCGGCCCAGCAGGAACAGCTCCAGCGATCTCCTACCGCTGGCCCAGCGCACCTGTGGTGGCAACACGAAAGTGCCATCCTTTCCCCCGTCAATCACCAACCACACTTTTATCCGTGTGCTTTTGAATGACGCTGTCTACCCTGTTCCCGGATGCCAAAACGGACCTGGCTACTCTTGTCTTCTGGACGACTATGTCGAGTTCGTTGGCAGCAAGTACAACAAATCCGGCAACTGGGCTGAAAACTGTGGCGTGACAGCTCCTGGCGCTCCAAAGGTTGTTGCTGGTGCGACCTTCTACACGAAGCTGGGCGGTGACTTTTTGCAGGTTATTTCGCCCTAGATGATGTCACTTCCATGTAAACCTTATAGACTGTCAAGTTCCCATAAATAACAAGTTTGTGGGGGTTGGGTTCGGTTCACCTGAGGCTGACATTTTAGAACCTACTTATATACTAACTTCCATACCTTCAAACTATAAACAAGTATATCTACTCACATTTTCGGTTTCGTTTCTTTGTGAACTTATAAACGTTTCTTCTCGAATTCGTGAGAACCACGAAGTTCGTCATCGTATTGCACTGCTCCGCCAACGTATCTGTCTGCATACAGCACACAGTCGTGTGCTGCCGTACTGGAGCGTAGAAAATATTATACACTGGTTCGAAGGCGATTATGAACGGTAAAGGAACAAAATGGAAAGATTCTAACGAGCAATATGGAATTAAACTTAGGGATAAGCGAGCATGGTGTGAAGGTCAGTGGCAGAGTGGTTACAATTCGTTGCAAGCTTTCTTATCAAGGATCCCAGCTTGTTGCGTCCTCCACGGGGAGCTCGTTACGGTATGAATACTGACTGCTCACAGAAATTGTGTTAAAGATCGCATGACGAGGCACGGAGGAGTGAAACGAGTGACCTGCGCCTGCGTCAGGTGCTGTTGCTAGCCCAACTGTTTCTGCCTTTTTTCCGCCGGAGGGAGGGGGGGCTGCAGAGTGCATTGTGAAATCTGATAATTCCAACAACCCTAACATCCTAAACCACTTGCTAAAATGCAACAACAGACTTCCCATGCTGCTTAGTGGTCATATCAGATCCTCCTGAGTAGACTCGACGGCACCGGCCAGCAGGCGGTTGGCGCTGGCTACAGTCGAATATCTGCAGAGAAAAAATTACGGAGACAGGAGCCGGCCAAAAGCTCCATGGAAAGATCCAAGCGGCGCCGTACAACCTCTACTGGATCAGACAGGGCCTGACAACCGCCAACCACAACTTGGTTGGCGAGAAGACCGTCAAGCCGAGCTGTGAGTCCAGGGATGGTGGCAGATGACGTCACTACATCGAGTAGAAGAACTATCAACGTCAATGTCCAAAAAAACGCCCTACAAAGCCGCGAAAAGAACGTACAAAGTATTCGTCCACACAATAGGTACGTTTATACTGTGACTCAACGTCAGGTATCTGTACATGCGTAGGTGCGCATTGAACGGATAAACTTGAGACAAAGTACGATTTATGGACGCGGCACTTGCAACTACCAGGGTGGGGCAGGTGCTTGGAATTGGACTGGTCTCGGCGTTAGATCGGATATCCAAAGTAGCGCCGATAAGTGCCTGGAACTTAAAAGAGCGCAAAGCCGACAAACGTTACGTTGAACATAACATCTATTCAACCAATTCATAACGTGCCTCAACTCGGCCCACCTCCGCAAAAACTCGCCATGTCGTCCTGGTTATCACGTTTGGCAGCGGAAAGCGGCCTAACCACCGTCCTGCAGTACGGTCGCGATGCCAAACTTCTGTGCGCTCAGCGCTTCGTGCGGCTTTTCGCATATGGCGCGTCGTTCCTAGTCTTGGTCCCGTTTCTCGCCAGTTTGGGCATCCCCGATGCACGCATTGGTCTCTTTATGACGCTAACGATGCTCGGTGATGTTGGCATCAGCCTTCTTCTCACGGCTATCACTGACCAAGTCGGTCGGCGGCTCATCCTTGCAGCCGGAACTCTGCTCATGGCCAGCAGCGGTGTTGTCTTCGCCCTCAGCGACAACTTTTGGGTTCTTCTTTTGGCTAGTATCGTGGGTGTCATCAGCCCTAGTGGAAACGAGATCGGACCATTCCGCGCCGTTGAGGAGTCGGTCCTCGCTCAGTTGACGCCCTCGTCGCATCGCTCTGACATGTTTGCTTGGTACACACTGTTTGGCACGGCCGGCACTGCCCTTGGCTCGTTAGCGAGCGGGACCATTGTGCAGGTTATCCAAGATAGAAACGGCGAGACCAATGCAGCCTATCGGATCATCTTTTTCCTGTATGCTGCAATTGGCCTTGTCAAGTTTCTGTTGACGTTGGCTTTGACGTCCGCGGTGGAAGCAGCCCCGGCTCGTCCCGCACCGACGCCATCGTCCGAACCAAATGAACGGAGCGGCTTGCTCTCGGGGGAAGGCACGACCGACGAACCTGCTGCCGCGGCTCCCACTTCAAAAGGCGGCATCTTTCAACGTTTCTTGGACCTTTTCCCGACTATCTCACACGAGTCACGCAATATCCTTTCCCGCCTCGTCTTGCTATTTGCCCTGGACTCGTTTGCTTCGGGTATGGCATCGCCGTCCTGGATCACTTACTTCTTCATCACCGTACATTCTTTGGCGCCGGCCATCTTGGGAACACTCTTCCTCGTCACAAACATTTTCGCTTCGTTTTCGAATCTCTTGGCACTGCCACTAGCCCGCCGACTCGGCCCACTCAAGACCATGGCCTTTACCCACCTCCCGTCGGCCCTATTCCTGGGTCTTGTTCCGGTTCCGCCAGCATCAGGATCAGTTGGAACGCCTCTCGCCATGGCTTTCCTTGCGTTGCGAGCATGTACGCAGAGCATGGACCAGGCACCCCGGCAGGCCTTTTTGTCGGCCGCCGTGCTGCCCGCAGAACGGACTGCCGTGATGGGTGTCGTCAACACGGTGAAAACGTTGATGCAAGCTGGGGGTGTTGGATTCTCAGGTGTCTTGGCTGGTCGTCATCAGTGGATTCTGCTTCTTGGTGGTGCAGGTGCGTTGAAGGCGTCTTACGACCTTCTCCTCTTATGGAACTTTTCGCATCTGCGTCCCCGGCAAGAGGAACATTCGGAGTCTGCTTGAGTGTTGCCCGAGATAAATATTCTGTGATCCAGTATACTTTATTCCTACATAGACAAATCTACCCCCGGCAGTTCCATTTTCCCAAAATCTACTCAATGGCCAGCTCCTCGACCGGATATTTTTCGTCGTCCAGAGCCTGGCCGTGCATGAAGCCATGCAAGTACGCTTCTCCGACGAACGAGTAGTTGCCGTTCTTTTTCTTCTTCAACACGTAAGCCGTTCGTCCGCCGTGCAGGATGGCCACAAAATATCCCGTCGCGGCAGAAACCGGTGCCAATCCGAGGTATCCCTTCTTCGTTACGAAGATCTTCCTGCCGTAGGCCGCTGCGCGCACTTTTTGCCCATACAGGTCATGGTTGTCTTTCTGGATCCGAATATCGTCCTCCGTCATTTTATCCTGGCCGAGATGCGGTTCGACGGACTGTAGTCGACGGAAGGCAGTGTACAATTCTTCAAGATTCACCGGTTCCAACTTGCCGCCCATCTCTCGCGGAGGGAAATTTGCATTGGCTATAAGCGTTTTTTGAAACGCAGTCCGGATGTCTTCACCTGTGACCGGGTACGATTTCAGCTTGAGAGCCATGTGCTCCCACATGGTCCACCGGCGGTGGCGCGAGAACCGATATAGAAACTCGTCTTTGTCGATTTTCTTCGAATACCAGTCGTTGCTTACCTGGCCATATCGTGCGTGACTAAACATGAAGTGGGATTCACCGACAGTGGTGATTTTGTCCAAGATGCGACCTTGCAGATGCAGGACTTTATTGTCTTCCGAGAATCGAATGTTCGGTGCAGATGAGTCTCCTGCGACCGTGCCAGCGTGGAGCCAGGGGCCCTCGGGCGTGAAGAGAAAACAAAACTCGCGCGGGGCGCACGACCAGTCCGGTGCCCAAGACGGCATATCAGGATGAACGCGCCACACGCTGTCAGAGTTGAAATTCAAAATATCAAGACTTTGCGCCAAAAGAACCCGAGCCGTATCAGAAAAGACAGTGCTAGGGCTCTTGTGGTAGTCTGGACGAAGAGCTGGATCGGGAGGGACATCCTTGGATATGTTTAGCATGGCAAACACTTTGTCGGCGGCATTTGTGGCCAAGCAAGTGCGCGAACTGATAAGTTGCGTCACCAGACTGGCATGGTTATTGGTCTGGTATTGGCTGCGGGCGGTCCGAAGTGCCAGTACGCGGTCTGCACTAAGACCCGTCCTGGATCCGAGGGCAGTGTTGTGTAAGTAGTCACACAGGTCGCAGAAGGCATCGAAATCGATGGTGTCCGAGCCACAAACGACCAATGCAACTTTTGGGACGGCGACTTCTTGGACGACCCAGATGCGTAAAAACCACTGGCGCCAGAAAAGTGCGTCGAGTGCCAACCATGCCGGATCATCCTGTTCGGGGAGGCCGCGTTCTACGACATCTTGCTCCATGGTGTACTTGCGGTACATCTCACCACCACTGTTGCTGTCGCTATGTGCCTTGCGATCGGCTTCCATGACGCCAGTGATCTTGGTCATCAGCTCAAATGCGAGGTGGCTTTGGCTGTAAGCAACGCCGAGCCACACGACCACTCTCGCAGCCCTTTTATAGACTAGGTCCATGAAGAGAACTTGCGACCCCCGCTCCGGAAGGTCCTGCTGGTTGATGCATAAAGCATCCACCCACAGCAAACGATCCTGGTCGGGCTGACGAAATTGCTGCAGAGCACTGATGAGGTTCGGGGTGACGTCAATCGCTTTCCCGTCGATTGTAATCCAGTGACGTTCCTTTGCATCGCCCCAGGTGTATGAAAGTGCTTCAAAGGGAGCTGGCAGATCATCGATGGACCAGGTCAGAAGGGAGCAGCTGATGGGATCCGTACGAGACGGCGCCGGGTGGATCTGCAGCATCCGGAACTCCCTGGGCCCTAGGCCAGTATATTCGTATCTCGGGTCATTCCTATCAATCGTATAAGCGGTTTGCACATTGATGGTGGGACAAGGGCAGTCACCAAAGCGCAATACAAGATACGTACTGCGACATGACCTCCTGGACGTCCAGAACCAACTTCTCTTTCAGAGCATGACGGGCGTGCAGCTCATGTCTCTTGACCGGGTCGAAGCCGTTCCGAGTTAACATCCACTTTTCTGTTTTTGGCACGACGTGCCCGTAAATGTGAAAGAAAGGGCGCCAGGCCGCCGGGATGTAGTCCATGTTAGGCATCTTGGGGTGCGAAGAAA